CACGAATTAAGCAAACGTATACAACATTAAACCTCCCCACAAGATTAAGCAATCTGTGACTTTGGTGCAACAACCTGATTCATTAAGCATGAACAGGTGTTGAAAACATTTTAACACATAGGTTCAATGAAGAAGAAGCAAACAGAACACAAATATATATACGAATGAACCTCAAATAGAGATTAAAATCTGCTCAAGGAGCTAACCCCAAGAATTTTAGCCTTCCATTAAAACGAAAATGCATATACAGCAAGGTAGAAGAGAAGAAAATGAAAAGTCTGTATTCATTCAAATGTAAAATATGCAGTTCAAATACAACCAGGCAGAAATGGAATGGAAGAAAAAAATGTCTAGAGAGCAAAACAAAAATGGAGATACAAAACAGAGAGAAAAATGCAAAGGAATGGAGAGAAATGTAACCCCAACGTAGTCACCTCAAGTCTGCCCATGTTGGTCCCTACTCTAGGTCCTAAAAACCCTAGAAAAGTCAAAACGGGCCCCAATCCAAGTCTGACCCGAATTTACAATGAAATAAATGAAAAATAAAATAAAACAAAATGCTGATGTGGCGTTGATGTGGTGAAGTGGCGCTGACGTGGCATTTATCTCTTGAAGTCCAAAATTAATATCCAAGCCCAAAAGTGCTCCACAATTAACCTGAAAATGATTGATAAATAAAAATTAGACCAAGTGAATCAAAATTAATTAAAATTTGAAATACTGGCCCAGTGAAGCCCAAACAGTAAAACTGTACAATTAATAAGCGATTAGCCCAGATCAACAATTAAAATAGGTACAGAAAGATAAATAAATAAGGGAAAATAATGACTCATCACTTCTACATTGTTTTCCTTGGGTAAGTGGATTTGCTTGTATCCTTGCCCTTTAGAGCAGCTGAGTGTTGGGTTGCGTACTCTATTGGGTAACAAGGGTGACAAACTGTACACTTGATCATTAGTCTTTGAGTAAATGCTCCATGCCATTTGCTCTAATTTCTTCTCTTGTGATAGTGAGGTGGAGATCCGGGTCTTCTTTCTTGTTTTGACATTAGATGCCTCCACGTTGTTTCCTTCGAGTAAATGGTGTTTACCGGTATCCTTGCCCTTTGGGGCAACTAAGTCTTGGGTTGTATGCCTTGTTGGGTGTTCAAGGATGGTAAACCTGTACCGTCTAAGCCTCAGGATCCACGTGAAACTGAGTGTTGGGTTGTATGTAGATGCTTTCTACTGCTTCTGCTTGTTTGATGGTAGTGTGTTCTTTTATTTGTAGCTTATTGAAGAAGGAGTATATTCTGAGCTCAACCTCTCTAGGCTGGACTGATATTTGGGGCTTCAGCTAGCCCATGGAAGGAGCTCGATGGTAGTCTCAGTTTTGACTTTTGAGGAACTCGATAGTGCCCTTACTGTCATTCTTAATCTAAAAGGCTTGACAGTGGCTCTTCAATCAAGCTGGACTGATTTTAAGACTTTAGTTGACCCATGGTGGGAGCTCGACGACAATCCCGGTTTTGACTTTTGAGTAACTTGGCAGCGCCCTCATTGTCGTTCTTGATCTAAGAGGCTCGACGGTGGCTCTCCAATCAAGCTTGACTGATTTCAAGGCTTCAGCTGACCTATGGTGGGAGCTCGATGGCGGTCCCAGTTTTGACGTCAAGGAACTCAACGGTGCCGTCGTTATCATTCTTGATCTGAGAGGCTCGACGACAACTCTTCAATCAAGATGAGTATTGATGTCCTTTATAAAGATAGAGCTTGAACCTTTGATGGATGCTCGATGGAGCTCTTTGTTTTGACTTGAGGTGCTCGACGATGCCCTCATTGTCGACTAATGATTTGAGAGGCTCAACAGCAGCTCTCAACTTGGATGGTTGTTGATGTCCTTTGAAGGAGGACCTTTGGAATCTTGGGCGGATACTTGACAATGATCCTTTTTCGATTAGAGGTACTCAACGGTGCCTTCGTTGTTGACTTGTGATGGAAATTTCCCCAAGGAGGATGGGTAGGATATACTTGCTGTGCCTCTGTGATGGTGGGTAGAAAAAATAGACGGATAATAGAGATTCTGGTGTTGCCCCTACCATGTGAGTATTGTGATGCCTCTCCAAACGTCTACTTGTGGTAGGGTTCTTCCTGAATTTTATTTATTTATTTTTTTTTAGCTTCAGCTTTTTCATGCTCGAAGCTTGCCTTTTTCGGTTATTTTTCTAAATGTTTTGGCTTTTTCAACATGTACGAAGCTTGCTTTTTTTTGTCATCATTGGTGGAGGGATCCCATCCCATGATGATGGTATATGGTGAATCTTTATTGATGAGTATTATTTTGGAAGCCACTCCTGGCTTTCATCTTGTAATCCATTCATGAAGGCTTGGTTATTCCTCCTTGGTGAGTTTCGCTCTGTCTTGCTATTGATGTGTCATTTTCTTGGTGGCTATATAAAACCACTTGTATGGAGTGCCCTTGTAGAGTTAGGCTTCTAATGCCTTCTTGTTTACACGTGGCCTTACTTGATGGTCTAGCTTTCTGGCGCTTGTGAGTGCTTTGGCTCAAGAGTTCCCCATGATAGCAATAAACAAAACAAGGATGCAAAATGAAAAGAGAGTACAAAGCAAGAATGGATTATGTGATCTTTTTTTTTGTTTTTGTTATTGTTTTTTCCTTTTTTTTTTTGGTTTTCTTTATACCCTTTTTTGCATCCTTGTGCCATATGCATGTTATGTAATGATGCTTCTATGCTAATGCTTAAAATGCAAATTTATTTTTACTTTCAAGAAGTTAATCTATGCACATTGATCAATGACATGGATTGTTAGCTTTTAACTGTGTCACATTTATTGCAGGTGTTGCCTTTTGAATCTGAGGTTTGTATAGTTTGGCTTTCTCGCTTGTACCGAATATGATATGTTAGCCTTTAGGTCAGGTGTATTTAGATTCTGTTCTAGGACACCTCTAATTTTTCCATATGAGTGTTCATTATGCACATTTCGTGTATCTCTCAAATTTATCTTAATGCCATATAGGTCAAGAGGAAAGAAAAGAAAGGGATATATACATTTTTTCACAAAAGGTTTATTAGAAGGGATTCTTTTCAAAAATGTTTTTCTTAGAAGAAGGGATGGTTGCGGTAGGCTAGTGTTTAGGTTGATGAACAAGTATATTTAAAATGAGGAAATCATTTTTTGCGTTAGCTTATTATTTCCTTCATAGTTAAGCGATGACTTGGGATTGCGTATTGATTAAATGATCTTCCCGAGCCCCTTTTCAATTTTTAGCTCGGGATGCTGCTTTGTCCTAACTTTTGCCTAGGTTACTCAAGGTGGGTTCCCTAGCGAACATTTTCCTTTTGATCCACACTTTGCATAGGTTACTTTTTTATTTGGGTCTCCTAACGAACCTTGCCTTTATTTTTGCGCAGCCCCCTTGGTAGGTTTCTTGTCGGGCTTTTGTCTTTGCAAGATTTGTGATCATCTTTCATTCCTTCATTAAAGGGGGATGCCACTTGCACTGATTTTGTTTGGACTTTTATCCACAAGTTATGCCGAATTTGGTTGGTCTTTATGTGTTCCTTATTCAGCCATTATTTTTAATGATGTCCCTATTTCAAATGTACTTGTTCATTTAAGGTTTCTTAACGAGGCTTAAAGTAAATAAAAGGGAGAAGAGAAATGAAGTAGAAAAATGTATGGCATTAAAATAGAATTTTCAATTTACACCTGGCTATTTAATGTAGCTCGAGGGCCCGGGCATGCCCCGAGTTTTTGATTCATACACAGAGACATAAAAGGAGGGTGCCCTTTAAAGAGGCTTAGGTGATCTAACTATTAGAGTTAGTCCTCCACTTGCTTAGATGTCAGTGCTTCAGAAGATCTCGTGACTTAGTGACAAAGGATTTAAAATTGAATTTGATAATACTTGTTGTTTAATCTGTGATAAATTGACAAAAGAAATTAGATTCATTGGAAAAAGAATTGACAACATTTACATGCTAGACTTAGAACATTCAATTACAATTTCTAACACCATGTGTTTCGTAACCAAAGAATATTTGGCTTTGGCATAGAAGAGCTGCACATATACACATGGATCACTTAAACAAACTTAGTAGAAAGGAGTTAGTAATTGGCTTACCCAAACTCAAGTTCAGCAAGGACAAACAATGTGATGCTTTTTAAAAAGGCAAACAAGTGAAGGCTAGCTTTAAGGTCTTCTGGGAGTCCTTCTGGCTGACTTTCCTTCGATCTTTGAGAGTCTTCGAGTCTTATTTCCGACCCGGACAATTTTAGGGGTCTACAGGTAGAACCTAAGGAGAATTCCATGTTAGGACCTGAGGTAATTTAGCAAACTACTGAGAAGGTGGGACTAATCCAAGATAGAATGAGAGCAACCCAAAGTAGGTAAAAAAGATACCATAATAAGAGAAGGAAAGACCTTGAGTTTAAAGAAGGAGATCATGTATTCCTTAAGGAAATTCCTTGGACTAGAGAACCTGTTTCCTATTTTATGTTCTTAACCTTATTTGATTGGTTCTGTAATCTGTTTCCCTATTCATTTTCTTGAGCATATTTTATTGCCAGGGCCATCAAGAATACATGGAGTCATGTTCGTCATCTGAATCAGGTCCATGGAGATTATTCACAGGACTAAGTGCTTGTGAAATTTGCAAGGTTGAAGAGCTAGAGTATGCGGAGCTCCCAGGCTCTGGGGATAGCTGTTGTAAGCTTAAACTTAGATTTGTGGACCCTTCTTCAAATATGTATGGAAAATCATTTAAATTAACTCTACCTGAATTGATTAACTTCCCTGATTTTGTTGTTGAGAAAACATGGTATGATACTGCCATGAAGAGAAATTGGTCTTCAAGAGATAAATGCATGGTCTGGTGGAGAAATGAAGATGGGAAAGGTGGAAATTGGTGGGATGGTCGAATTATTTCAGTTCAGGCCAAATCTCATGACTTCCCTGACAGTCCCTGGGAAAGGTATCTTATCCAGTACAAGATTGATCCATCAGAGAATCATATGCATAGTCCGTGGGAACTATGTGATCCCGAGATTCTATTGGAGCATCCCCACATTGATCATGAAATCAGAGATAAGCTGCTGTCCTATTTCACTAAATTAGACCACAGGGTAACTTGATGTGAAGTTTTATTTCTCTTAACCTACCTGTTTTTTCACTGAACTAGTCTTGTTGATACAAGTTGCAAAGTTCTAATTGTTTTAAAGGGGGTTGATGTAACGTTTCTCATTGTTTTTTCCTTCAATTCAGGAGAAGTTTGATATCCAAGCACTGAAACACGTAGCTGAGAAATTAGAGTTTTCAAACAGGTACTAAAAGTTTCTGTGTAGAAAGGCACAGAGCACTGGTATGCCAGTGGTATTTTTATGCAGGCAGGCCTGTTCCGGCAATTTCCGTGCCTTGAAATCAAGTACACAAAAAGTAAAAAAGAGAAAGCGACAGTTTAAATACGTGATCTTAACTGGAATGACTACTATCGAAGTGTGGAAGGTGTCAAGCATGATATACTGGTAATGTTAGCAAATGCCGAAGACTTCTTTACAATCACAAAAAATGGTCAGCTGTTGAGCAACATCAAGAGAATATCAGAATGGGTTAGAAGGAAACTTGAAAGGATATAGAAAGCCCAAATTGGGATTTATAGGTTTCTTCTAACATTGTTTTTCATTCTTTAATCCAATTTTGGAGAATTAGTTGGTATTTAAGTTGGTCTTATAGAATGGAGGCCATAGGTGGTGGTAAATATCAGCTGTCACATGTGTATATATCTACTAACTCATCCTTTTTAATGCCAAGTATCTTTATGAGGCACATCTTCGGCTTTTTATCGTTGATTTCGGGATTCTAATTTTTGGTGCCGAGTTTAAGGTTCAATGGAATAAATCCTTCCATTTCCTGCTTGTTAGGGTGTTAGGGAAAGCAGTGAAAATTATATTATTTAAATAATACGATTATTTTTGTTGGAATAAGTTTGCTGATAAATGACAATGACTGAGATGTTTAATTTCATTTGGATATAAAATAAATAAATAAATTATGCAGTAATTGACAAGGGATTAAAGTCAAATAAAATTTATTTAGACTAAGAAATTGACAAAAATTTATGGATTAAAAATATATTTAATTCATAAAATTATATTCGAGTACTTCCATATTCAACTTTAATTGGACGGCATCGGTGGAGCAATTCAAATAGGATAAACTGCGTCATTCAACGTTCACTATAAGCTTAATTTACGCAAAAACCATACAAACAAATGACACACATGAATGAGGAACCAAACCTTGCACAACAGTAACACTTTCTCAATTTAATTTCCGGTAGCTTACATTCACACAGATAATTGAAAGTGTTATATAAGATCTAAGAGGAACAACAAATGTAGGTTTATGGTATCCAAAAGAAGTATCACTAAGTCTGATAGGTTATTCGGATTCAGCCTATGATGGGTGTATTCTGGATATGTATAGCATAAGAGGCACTTGTCACCTACTTGGAAGTGCACTTGTCTCATGGCATAGAAAAAAGCAAGCATGTGTTGCTTTAAGTACAGTTAAGGCTGAATAAATAGCCGCTGGCAGCTGTTGTGCACAAATCCTCTGGATAAAACAACAACTAAGAGATTATGGAACTGAATTGAAGAAAATTCTCTTAAGATATGATAACACAAGTGCAATCAATCTAACCAAAAATCCAATCTTACACTCTAGGACAAAACATATAGAAATAAGACATCATTTTTTAAGAGATCATGTTTAAAAGAATGATTGTGTAGTAGAGTTTGTTGAAACAAATAAACAATTAGCTAATATATTTACAAACCTCTACCAAAAGAAAGATTTAATCAACTGAGAATTGAACTTGGAATTATCAATGAGTTTTGTTTGAATTGATTGTGAATGTACACTTGAGTGTGATTGTTTGAATAAAACGTGATTGATGTGTGTATAGAACATTGAAATGTAGTGTATAAAAGAGTATTTTTAAGAGATGAAATGGATGGGGAATGGTTAAGAGGTTCAGAGTAAGAGAAACAAAACTTCTCTGCAATAATCAATTATTGTAAAATTTAATCGATTATTTTAAGTAACACTAGGCAAATAATCGATTATTCTGAAAATAATCGATTATCTGGGAAGAAGTAGAATTCCAGAAGTCTCTGGAACAATCGATTATTTGGCAAATAATCGATTATCTGGTAAAGATTGAAAGAATAAGCCTCTGGAATAATTGATTATTCCAAAAATAATCTATTCTGGAAGCACAAATGAGACATGAGTCTCTGGAATAATCGATTATTCCAAAAATAATCGATTATTTAGTGCAGATAGGGTTTTTAGGCTAATTTTACTAATACAAATAATTGATTATTTGTATAGATAATCGATTATTTGTGCGACCCTTGGTTTTCCAGACGGTTTTTGAATGATTTTATTCGCACCAACTCCCAACCTCCCACTTTCCTTCATAAGTGGCACCTCTCTTATACCCAATTCGGTGTCTAGGGCTTTAAAATCACTTAACCCTTTTAGTCTCTATAAAACCCACACATTCTCTCAACTCTCACACACAAACCCTAACCCTTCTATCTTACATTCTTCTTCTTCTTCTCTTCTCCAACCAAGAACCCATCTTTAATTACAAAATGGCCTCATCTTCCAAGAGAATCAAGAAGCTTGAAGTCAGGGGGAGCAAAAGACCTCTACCCACAAGAGCTAAGCAACTAATCTCAAAGTGGTTTGCTAACAAAGAAACCCAAGACTACTACTTTGAGTGGTATGCGGGTAGGAGAATCATTCCTCCAAAGACTTGGAAGTTAGAGTGGTTCAAGAGTGAGGGTTTCAGTTTTCCTCCTCTCTTGGAGCATCAAGAGCTTAGGAAGTTCTTGGAGTTGGAAGGTCTGTATTACCCGGAGAACATTAGGTTGTTCTTGTGTTTTACCTCAAGCAATGAGGGAATAATGCAATTAGTGGTGAAGGGAAAGCTCATAAAGCATGATGGACCAACTTTGAAAGAAGTGGCTGGGCTTAGTGGAACAGGAAGTGTGAAGCCCCAACCTTTCAATTTTGGTGACTTTGAAGAGCTGACAACCTTTTGGGATTGTCAAAGGAACCCGGAGACCATAGATTACAACAAATTTCTGGCTAGAGGTATGATTTCTTTTATAATAGCTTGGATGCTTAAACCTAGGTAATAAATCATAATTTTCGTGCATTTTCTTACCTTTGTAATCTCCTATTAAATATTGTTAGTGCCTAATTGTTTTCTCTTGCCATATTTTATTAATCTAGAACTTCATTTAATTAGATTTATTAGCTTAATTAGATTTATTAGCTTAATTAATTTCATAATCATTTTGGACCCGAATTCACATTCTCATAAGGGACTAAAAGAATTTTTAGGTCTGGATGGGACATGAGGAGACATAGCCACCACTCCCTCTTTGGCTCCTAGACGAGTTTTGAAGGAAGCCATTTTTGGAGACTCACTTTTCTGTAGTTTGTTCCTTTTTTGCATTTTGTTTTCTTTTTCTTCTTCCATTTCTCTCTTCATTTTCTTCTTTGTCTTCCTCCATGGAAGGCTAAACTTGTAACACTTTCTAACTTAGTTTAATGCTCATTGAGGTCTGTTTATTTCACTACATCTTCGTGTTCTAACCCTTGTATTCTCCATGCTTAATGGTATTTGTTCATCTGGATTGAATGTTTTGTTCACGGTTTGCTTAATCCCGTGAAACAGAGAAATGAATGTATGCTAATGCTTCATTTGTATGCATTCAAAATAAGAGTAATGACGTTTAGTGATTACTAGAAACTGAACCAAGGTTTAAAACGATTGAAGATAATATTTTGAACCGGTGATGTGTGTGTGATAACTGAGTTGGAAAATGTACTATTTTATTGATTACTGTTGACGCATTTGTTCATTTGAATCTGAAAACCCCCCATACTGTGTTCGTGTTTGCATTATAAGAACCTCTTACTAGCCCGTTGCTCCTTGAGAAAGATGACCTAGGAGTCACTTCCTAGTATTACAAATTTCATATTCTATTTGATCGGGTATGGCACCGGTCACTAGGCTTCATAACCATGCTCAAATGTCTAGAGATGATATTTTGCTTATGCATGTCATTAAGAAAAAGGTTAAAACTAGGTTTCAGTTGTGAATGATTGTATTTGGAAGGCTAAGAAAAAGGAGAATGGTCCAATACCCTATGCTTTATTGTTGTCTAGAATTTTTGAGAAAGCTGGTGTGGATCTTCAAGGGGAGAAAAAGATAATTCTCCATGCCTCAAACAAGATTGAAAAATATTCTTTGCATCATATGGAGATGCTAAAGCAAAAAGATAAATGGGTGTTCAAAGGTGATGTTCCTCCAACACCGGAACCAGCAACGGATGAAGATGGAGTTCCATCTCATGATGAGGAACTGCCACCTCAAGTGGAGCATGAACCAGTGCAAGAGCAAGAATCAGAACCTAAAGTGTTTTCTCCGTTTAAACATATTATGATCAACAAGCTTGATGTTGTGATGGAAATGTCAAGGAAGCATGAGTCATATTATTCTGGAATTCTTGATCGGTTTGATAACCTTGATCACGAGATTGCTAGGATTAAGGCTCAACTTGGAATGCAAGAGGATTTGGAGAGATGCGTTTAGGAATTTTAAAAGTTCTAGTTTTAGTTTTAAAATTTCTGCTCTAAATTTCAATTGGTTTGTGATGATTTTAATTTCTGAACATTTGAATTTGATTTTATCTTGGTTTGAACAATTTTAATTCTGGTGCAATATGAATTTAATTGTGGTTATATTGTGTTTGGTTACTCTGGTTTGAATTTTGATGTTGCCATATTGGTTTATTTTGTGCATTGGTATGCATTTTTGATTGAATTAATGCACGTTTACTGGTGCATTAGAAATTATACTTATGATAATGTGGCTAATGTATTGTGTGTTGAAATACAATTGTGTTAATTTGGTATCAAATTCTCTAATACAAGTTCTGATATTAATTTGGATTGGAACAATGCCTATGGTGATAATGCTTGACTGATTTCTTGATAAGTTAGTCTTGTGGCATTGATTTTGAGCAAATGACTCTTGTGCATATATCAATACATATGTAATCTTCAAAATTTGATTCTCCATATCTGGACATGTATATCTGTACCTATTTGTTTTTGATGTTGTCCAAAGGGGGAGAAAGGTTTGAGTTTGTTTTGTAGGTGTCTAAATATGAACAAGGAATAAGCTACTCATATGAAAAGCTGGTTGGCAAAACATAGTGGTTTGTCATCATCAAAAAGGGGGAGATTGTTGAGATTCATGGAGTAGTGAATCAAATAAGCTCTGAAGTATGAGAGAGCATGAGAGTTTTGATGATAATAAAGGGTGGATTCTGAGAGTTGAAGCTGACCAAGGACACAAACTAAGTCAAGAAGAAGATACGAATATCATAATGTGTAATAGGAGTAGTTTATAAGTTCTTATGAGTTGTGTTATTTTGATTAGCTTATTTTGCATGTGTATGCTTTGTGCATGAGTTAATTTTAGTCTAAATTGATTGAGAGTGAGTATGATAATGATTTAAAATACTTGAAAATATTTTTGAAGTATAAAATCGAGTTTTTGAAAACTAACTCAAAATAATCGATTATCATTAACTGCAATCGATTATTCCAGCAACAGGTGAAAAGAGCCTTGCTGTAATAATCGATTATCTATGAAATAATCGATTATTCCAGGAAGCACTCACTGGAATAATCGATTATCCTACAAAATAATCGATTATTCTGTTTTTGAGTGATTTCTAGAAATCATGACGAGCAAAATAATCGATTATCCTTTAAAATAATCGATT